TAAATGTACATTTATGTTTTTACTTTGAAAATATAGTACATTTACTTCTAAAATGCAAGGCGGAAGGATGGGCACTTCAGGGAGAATCATCACAAAGAGCACAAGCGTGAGTGGAGAAGTATATAAGTTGGAACAGAACGATGGGAGTCAATCAGATACCGCAGTTGGGACAGTCGGAACAGGTGGGAAGAAGAGAAGATCAAGCCTTAGTGCCAAAGTGGTTGCCATGGTATCTCGCAGAAGCAGAAGCACATCCCAGCTTAGCCAAACAGGTGAGTGAGATTAATGTAGCAGAAACCTCATAAGGGTTTTCTGAGAAGAAGCTATTTTTCCTTTGTGGGCCTATGATAAAGCCACTAGTGTCAACTATAAAATATTGTAAAATAAGTACTGAAGAATTTCGTTTTGCCCATTGTGGTGTACATTTTACCTGAAAAGTACTTGGAGTACCCACAATGTAATAATATTTATTTTTAAAAATGAGCGTATTCATTTGAACATAATAAAATAATAAATATTGTACACACACACACACACACACACACACACACACACACACACACACACACACACACTCTTCAGGGAGTGTGTGTGTGGAGACCCTGGAGAAGCTCAGTCAAGCAAACTAATAAGAACAGAGCATGATGGTATGTAACATGCTTTTAAATATATATTTTTTTCTCTTGAGGTACTTTAGAAACTATAAAAGCTTCATCTCTGTAGCCTAAAGAAAGAACAGGGGTACTATAGAGGGATGGAAGAATGCTTTAAGGTTCACAGCTCTCTTCAAATCTATGAATCCTGTTCCTCATTCTGATGAGTGTAGATCTCCTTAGCTGATGCTTAAGAAAGAAAAGGAAATTCTTGATTTAAAAATAGGGTTTAGACACATTAATAGAAGGTGATTTCATCGGCAAGATAATCACAGTCTACAGGTATGTGAAATATTTCTGATTGGATTATCTTTCTTTGTCCTGCCTTTTTAAAAAAATTGATAAAGTAATTACCCTTTTCCCACTTCATTAGCACTGATAAGATAAATGGAATTGAGCTGCTTAAATAACCCAGGGTAGTTTATATGTGCTTGGTTTTCAAATAAATCTTAAAGTTAAAAATGCATACGTGTACAGTATGTGTTCAATCTATTTTACTGGAAGTATCTGGAGTTAATAATATTCAAAGTCATGCTATGTGAAATAGTTGCCTGTGCAAGATTTTTTTTAAAGAAATGGTCCTACTTTGTTTGGGCAGTACCTCTTAAAACTGTATTTCGATCCCAGTTAATGTGGCTGCATTAAAACGATCTCTTCTGATATCTGGATTTCTGTTGAATGGTCACATCAGAAATAGTATGCAAAATTAACGATACTCGTTTTGGTTCTTCTAAATAGAGCTATGATTAAAATGCACTTTTCTATTTACCAAACAGGCATCCCAGAACTTCGGGGTACTTTGTGTCTCTCACAAATTGTGTTTTACTCCTTAGAAGAATGGGACCATCAGACATTAAGTGTATTATCTAATTTATTTCAGTGGGTTTTACTCCCAAATAAAAATGCCTCAGACCTGTATCTGAAATGAGAGCCTCTCCATTGCGTTGATTTCCTACATTCACTCTCTATTAAAGTGTTACACGAAGAAGGAAGACATCCTGCCATTCTTGTCTGTACACACATATGTATTTTAAAAGATATGGTTGGTCTCAAGTTATGGATCTTTAACCCTCTATTCTATTGTAATAAAACTTATTGTGATGAAGATTATGTTATGCATAAAAAATATGGGCTATTGAAAATAGATTGGGTTACTTTAAGGATTCATCGTTTACCTAAAATATTCACCAGTCGTGTATTTTTAATTGATATTGATCCACGTTTCAGGTTCTTTAAACAGTAGCAAAGACTGCTGTGATAAGCAGTGTTGGATCATTTATATATTTGTTAGAAAATAATTAACAATGATGTTTTGGCTCAGCTTGGAAACTGGCATTACTTTTACTCTCATAATAATTTGTTTTGTTCTTTATTTTCTATAAAGAGACAACATTTAATATAATCTATGAATGGAATAAAATAACTCCTGTTTCAACGGAGTGATAAATGTATGACGGGGTACATTTTTTTGTGTAGTCAATATAGTTCAGTCTATTCAGAGGGTTTTTTCCTCCCTTCCCCTTCCCTCCTTTCCTCCCTTCCTTCCTGGAGTTAATCCTTAGATTTATCTTCTTTTCTTAAATTGACGTGCTGACTGCCAAACACAATTGTAGTATAGTGGAATTATTACGGTTCCTTTCATCTTCAGGAAAGCGGGGAGCTGATTTGCCACATTCAACAAATTAAGGAATATTGTATTGAATAAGAATTTGTGAGGCAGCTTCTTTGAGTGCCCTTACTACCGAATGACAAAGCCATCCACTGCACATGGGGCTTCTGCTGGCAATTCTGAACAGTGCCATACTTCTCTTGACCGGTTCATATTTTAAATAGCTGTACTAATAACAATAGTGTGTTGGAATTGTGAATACAGTTTACAGTGTTACTAACCATTGCTGATATTATTATTATTTTGTTTCAAGACAAATGAACATTTTATGAATATATAAATTGCTATAATATAATCTGGGAGAAATGAACAGGTGTATTCATGGTTATGGATGTTCGCATTATTCTGATTTCTCTACTCAATTCACTTCACTAATAGCCTCCTACAGATTACTTAATGGAGTACTTTTTTCTTATGTAAAGTGACTGCTCCCATGGAAGTGTTTATATCAATTTCCCTTGTCCTACAGTCTAGCTCATAAACCGATGAAGAAATCTGCACTGAAGAAGTGTGATGTGTGAGCAATATATGTGCGTTTTATGCAAAAGCTTTGGAACTATAATGCAGCTATTACCGACTCTATTCTGTATTTTTAAATTCTATGTATGTTATATATGATAACTAAAAGACATTTGTATATAATTGTTATATTCAATTACCTGGGTATCATTAAATGTAACCCTTTTACATTCAAGGAGCTACTTATGTGACTTATATAGGGCTTATTTACGAGAAAACATTAGGGAACAATACAGATGTACTTCATGGAAAGAACTTGATCTGAACTAAGGCTCAAGCATATTAATAACTCCTTCGTATGGATTCGATTTTGCTCATAAGTTAAAGTATTTCAGTTCTGAGCTGCAGCAATCAGGGATACAGAGAGCTTATTTGTTAAGGATTCAGAGCCCTTTTCATTATAATGCAGGAGATCTGAATCCATGTTTAATGCTTCACTTTAGGTGATTTGTGGTGTTCTTCCTTGAATGGCTTCATTTGTTCAACTTTTTATATAACAGCTACCAACAACTGCTCTCTGCCTGTCAGTCAAAAGAAGAGTTGGGATTCTAAAAGCAAGAGCAGCACTGGAGAATTGGCAACATCATGATCACTTCCTTGGGTCTGGAAGATGGGTGTCTGGAGCAATATTTTAAAAACTCTTTTCCTGGGTTGTGCTCTTATGCTTTCTGTTGATTGCTGCAGGGGGTGAGTTTCTTTAAAGATGCTGCCCAATAAATCTTTCCTCTTCGGTTTCATCTTTTTATGATTCTTCCACAAAGGGGCATCTTCTTGAATAAAATGAAGATGACCTCTTCAGTCATCATCATTTCAGTCATGAAATGCCCAGGATGTAAGAAATGGGTGCCCTTGCTGAGAGGTTAGGACACGCCACATGATTAGGTTCTTAGCTCTGGTATACTACTTTCCAAAAAAAGCCAGTAATGTGTGATTGAGTAAGCTATAAGGTTGTCCTGTTCATATCCTGATCTTTTTTGCTTCTTAAAGGAGCAAACGGACACCGAAAACAGAAACCAACGGCAGATTATATCTGTGTGAATGTGACAGTATGTGCAGATTTAAGAAAGGGCGCCTAAGAACCTACTCCAGTCAGGGTTTTTTTAAGGTTTATGATACATTTCCTACTGAAAATGTACTAAAATAGGCAATATTTAAGTTTGCTTATGCTTAATGTTGCAGCCTCGTAAGTCCTCAGACTTACAAATGACAGCTCGGCAGCAGCCAGGCGCGTCTTAGCCAATCAGATGCGCCTGCCGGTTGCCGGGCTGTCATTCGCGAGGCTATTGGTTAAACCGTTTGACAGCCGGGTATAAAAGGCTGTCAAACGACGGAGACTTGCCAGTCTACTTACTGTTGTTGTTCTGAACGTTCTTGCTTGCTTGTTCTTGAACGTTCTTGCTTCTTCTAATATTTCTTTCAAGCTTACTTTTTCAGATGGAAATAACAATTTTTAACACAATAATTGATCACTGCTCATTGGAATGGCTATGCCATTCATTAGACTGGCCAGAGAAAATGCAGAGGAGGTGGTAGCAAATTTTCATGGGGAGCTTAGGTTTGTGGGAAGAAGAATCCAAGGTGACCGGACAATCAATGCATTTCCACTAATTGCTTGCCCCATATTAAGAGATGTTTGTATGATATGTATGTTATATGAGTCTGTTTCCTAACAAATGTATGAGTAGAGCAGAGTAGAATAGAATGACAGAGTTGGAAGGGACCTTGGCGGTCTTCTAGTCCAACCCTCTGCTGCAGGAAACCCTACACCATTTCAGACAAATGGTTACCCGGTCTCTTCTTAAAAACTTCCAAAGTTGGAGCATTCACAACTTCTGGAGGCAAGTTGTTACACTGATATATTGTTCTGCCAGGAAATTTGTCCTTAGTTCTAGGTTGCTTCTCTCCTTGATTAGTTTTCATCCATTGCTTCTTGCCCTGCCCTCAGGTGCTTTGGGGAATAGCTTGACTCCCTCTTCTTATTTGAACACTGCTATCATGTCACCCCTAGTCCTTTTTTTCATTAAACAAGATGCATCCAATTCCAGCAACCGTTCTTTATATGTTTTAGCCTCCAGTCCCCTAATCATCTTTGTTGCTCTTCTCTGCACACTTCCTAGAGTCTCAATATCTTTTTTTACAAAAAGTTTTGGACACCACAATGTAAAAAAAGATATTGAGAGTATTCCAAGTATGGCCTTACCAAGACATTTTAAAGTGGTATTAACACTTCATGTGATCTTGATTATATTCCTCTGTTAATACAGTCTAGGACTGTGTTGGCTTTTTTGGCAGCTGCTGCACACTGCTGGCTCATATTTAAGTGATTGTCCACAAGGACTCCAAGATCCCTTTCACAATTAATATTAAAACAACTAGGCATAATAATCTATTTTAAAGTAATGATGCCATTGAGTTAGTAAAATAATTGAAAGTTTGTAAAAATGATCGAAGTATGCTAGTCATTAGTAAATTATAGTAGCAGATGAAACTTTCCTTTTCATGGTTTGTTGTTTAAATTGCTGTGATCTGGTAAAGTGAATGACGTTTTATAAAATGAATGTAAATTCTTCAGAGATGCACCTTCAAAAAAAAAAGTTTCAGAAATCATCATCTCAACAGTCTGATTCTTAAAGAAAGAAACACTGAAGAAGTCTACTGTTTCTTTGTAAGGATGCCTTTGCTATGTTACCTATTGTAAATTGCTCTTCCAGTAATGGAAATAATGCCCTTTGGATAGTAACATAATAGTTGCACTTTTGCTTGAACTGCCACCTTATTTTTGACATGAAGCAATATGCTGAATGAGGATAGTCATTCCTGAGACTGAGCGCAGGTCATTTCAGGAGAAATTATGCTATAATGCATCTTTCAAAGAGATAATGAAGTAAGAGTATACAAATTTCAGTATAGTTCACTGGTCCCTCTTTACTTTTAACTCACAGTTAAAAGTTCACAATCCAATAGAGAGACTAGAAGGGGAAAGTGGATGAGGGGAGAGATTTTTTCCCCCCTTTCAAATATAAAGTGGTTTAGAGGCTGTGACAAATACATCTTTCATAAGAGAATGCTCAGTTTTTCCCAGATACAAGGATAGCAGGCTGGTGGTTATATTTCTAAATATGATAGATGGATACTGGATAAACATTAAACATGATTTAATTTTCTTTATATTTACATTAAAGACAACTAAGAGAATAATTCTTCAATTGTATATTTAATATGTCCTTTTGTCAGTTACCAATAGAAAATAACCATGTATACAAGACTGCTTCCAAGGTTTTTCAGCAGTGATACAGTTTATGGATTAATGGACTTTACGCATGCTTTTATGACATTAATTCCTCTGCATCTTAACACCTCTGGATTAAATACTGCAACGGTTTTCTCTCTTCTACTTCAGTTAGAAGTTTTAAAAGTTATATGCAAAATCATCAGATTAATGAATTGTAAAGCTTGTCTTTTCTGTTTTCAGCGGGGGAAAAATATAGCCTTAATGACTGCATTTCTTTTACAACTGGTCTTTTCCCACCCAGAATTTCAATTGTGTTTTCATCAATACTGTCTTAAAATTCTGACTTCTTTTTTATGTATCCATAATCATTTATATATCCAAAATATATGTATAAATCAACGCCTTAGGCATATTGACAAGAGTGTTCAGTTTGTTTCCCAAAGCATCTCTTTTACCTGAAGATTTGTTTTGAAATCATGTATTAGGGACATTTGTATGAAATAGGAATGTTTAATTTTTCTTACTCCAACACTTTTCTGTACAATTTGTTTGTTGAACCTTTTCAAATTACATGTGTAGAATAGTGCCACAAGTTCTAATAGAATGGATACGGTTTTAAATGTTCATCTTATATCCAGTAATTGAGATATAAAGGCTCCAAAGTGTGAGCTAAATATCACTTCCTCAAAAAAAAAAAAAAAAAAAGCCATGGAAACATAGTCCACGGGAGAACCCTGGCTATTATGAAGTCAATGTGGTGTGTAAACAAAAGTGTACAAGCATCCCAGCAATCAAACATTGCCTATTTCCCAGGGGCATTGCTATTTCTAATCACCAAAAAACAAAGATATTTCATTTCATTCATTTCATTTATTGAATTTATAGGCCGCCCAATCCCGGAGGAATCCGGGCGGCTTACAGAAATGAAAAATATTTTAAAAAGGATTAAAACAATAAGATACAACAAGATTAAGAAGAAGCACAACATGCACCCAATCAAAGGGGGGGGGGGCTGGACCTCAATCAAGAGGTCAACAGCCCCAGGCCTGCCGGAAAAGCCAGGTTTTAATAGCTTTACGGAAGGCCATGAGAGTGGGTAAGGTCCGGATCTCTGGGGGTAGCTCATTCCATAGGGCCGGAGCGGCAACAGAGAAGGCCCTACTCCGAGGCGTCACCAGCCGGCATTGTCCAGCTGAAGGCAGCCGGAGAAGGTCCATCCTGTGCGATCTTATTGGTCTTAGGGAGGTATGCGGCAGAATAAAGTACCTATAACCGTGATGGCGAACCTATGGCACATGTGCCCAAAGTGGCATGCAAATTCATGTTGCCCAGCACTTGTGGCCTTGCCTGTTTGTCTTCTGCGTTTCTGGCCTGCATGCCCACGCGACAATCAGCTGTCCTTTGCATGCATGGCAGTGCCAAAAACGGTGTGTGCATGCGTGCCAGCCAGCTGATTGTTGGGGGCGCATGCGTGCTAGAATCTGGAAGTTCGGCTTTTCCAGAGCACAATCCCTTTGTGCGTGCAACAGTGCTGAGAACTGGCCTGTGCATGCACGCCGGCCAGCTCATTGTTTGGCATTCATGTGTCACAGCACCTGGAAGTTTGGCTTTTCCAGAGCGCGGCCCTGATGAGAGTGTGCACGCACACACGGCATTTCCACACAACCTTTTCGGCACTCTGTGCCAAAAAGGTTTGCCATCACTGACCTAGAAACTTGATTTTTTTTTAAAAAAACCAAATTGGTTGAATTATTCAAACTTTCTAGAACATCAGCCAGTATTAACTAAACATTTTCTTTATCTGATCATTGCAGGATGGTTCTCTCCACATCCCTCATAAGCCTGTCACTTACTCTCCAGTTTCAAAGATGTATGATCAGACATTTCTGCCAGATGGTTCATTTTGTATAACTCATATACTAGAGATTCCTAGAAATCAGTTACGCTCGGTAGACGAAGAGGTTTTAACTTTTTAATTCCTCTTTCACATTTCAAATTACTTGATGTGTGTGTAAATACTGACATGCTTTAGAGTTACCAGAGGCAAAACTTGGTTTAAGTGTCATCATACTTACTGTCTTTATATACAATGCAATAGATCTTCAAGAATATGTTAATTTATCCAGGTCTGTGTTTCTTACAGTGATATGTTTAGTAATGCATACTGTCTTTTACGTGGTAAAACATAATGTCCGTGTTTTCATAGTGGCATCCGAACAGTTTGCTCTGTAACTTTCAAATCCTTAACAGCAGATCAACAGAAGCACAGAATGCTATGAATTGCAATGGGCAGGTGGACCTCTGAAGTTATGACTAGTAGAAAAAGCTGGTGTTTTTAAGTTTAGCAGTTGTTTATACAGGTGTTGTCAAATGAAACAGTTGTGCATCCCCCGCTGCAGCTGAAACAAAACACACATAAAAGGCAACAGATGCCAATCAACAGAGGGAAGGGTGTGAGAATCCAGGAGAGTGTATTTCCATTGTTAATGACATGCTCAGATGGGAAGACCTTTTATCAAATGTTTTCTTGAACGAATTCTCACATATCTGTCAACAAAATAATTGGGTGATGAATTGTGTTTATCAATTATTTATGAACCTCTTTTTAACCTGATGGAATTTATTTAAATGCATGCATTTTGGAAGTGTTTGCCATCTGCATGATTTCCAAGTGACCATAAGCCACCACCAAATGCTGTCCGATGCCCAGCATTTGCTTCCCAGTGGCCTGATGCAGCTGTTCGTAAGAATTCACAAAAAGCTTACAGTAGCCCTTTCAAAGGAATCCTTCCTCCATCTTGAGATAGCAGCAACCATTGCAAAAGAGATGTGAACATTTTTTTCCTGCATTTTACAGAGGTAGAAAATAACCAGTATAACCACAATGCAGTCAACAAGCAGAATGTGGGGATTGGGTTGAATTGTAGATAGATTGTTGGCTGGTTTACAATATAGTCCCTCTCAGCTTAACACATCTGAAAGAATGATTGTCAGAATGAACATCCCATATCTGTATTATGAATGGAAGTCTTGCGCCTGGATTTTTGTAGAAAAATCACCCTATTGGGCAGCCTGCAACCAGGGTATAATAAAGGTCTACCACATGAAGGAAAAATAGTGTCTCATGAAATTATAAAGTCCGTGGTGGATTTTGCACCACCTCAGTTGATATTGTTCTTCGTGACATGCTCAGAAGTAGACATTACATTCCCAACCCCCAACCCCCCATCATCATCAGTCCTGGGATCTACTTGTGGATAGATAGGCACCACAATCCAACATATCTGGAAAATATCAGGTTGGGTGAACTTGCTGAACAATTCACAACATATAAGCATGGCTGTTTCAAAACCAGCATTGAATCATAAATGTGCAGCAAATGAATGAGGAATCATTGCATTGTATCTTTCTTTAAAAAAAATATAGCCGTGTTGCAGTTCTCTATGTCTTCTGTCCCTGAGTTAAGTAGGTAAGTGAATGTAGGATTGTAGCTATTGATGGTAAATGCTATCAAAGAGATCAAAAGAGTTGCATGTTGAAAAAATACGATGAGTTCTTTATAAGCAAAATAGTCATAAATGAGTAGATAAAGTAACGAATGAACTGAAATATGTAATCTACAAGACAGTATGCTTGCTAATAATAAGATAATGCAGTTTTATTGCCTATTATTTAGAGATGTGTTTAGTTCAATGTTCTCTCATTATAGTCTACAGTGAACGACATACATAACGACAACAATTTTATAACCTTTTAAAAATTGCCCATAAGTATTCCTATTACAATTTCTACTACTTTCTGTGTTTTTTTCTGTCTGTTGCAGAGACTGGCAACAAGAAACTGAAAAGCACCATACAAAGAAGCACAGAGACAGGAATGGCAGCAGAAATGAGAAGTCGCATGGTCCGGCAGCCCAGCCGGGAGTCAACTGATGGTAGTATCAACAGTTACAGCTCAGAAGGAAAGTGAGTTGAAGCCTCTGAAAACCAAACGCTCTGTACATGGGGCTGCCCTTGAAGAGCACCCGGAGGCTTCAACTGGTCCAGAATGCGGCTGCGTGGGTTATCATGGTGCTCCCATGTTACACTCATTTTAGGTGGCTTGCACTAGTTGCCGGTTGTCTTCCGGGTGCGATTCAGGGTACTAATTATGACCTTTAAAGCGCTCCATGGCTTAGGCCCAGGGTACCTGCGAGACCACCTACTGCCACCGGTAGCCTCCCACCATCCAGTGCGATCCCACAGAGTTGGCCTCCTCAGGGTGCCGTCGGCCAGACAGTGTCAGCTAGCAGCCCCCAGGAGGAGAGCCTTCTCTGTGGGAGCGCCTTCCCTCTGGACACGCCCGAAAAGGTTGGCTTTTCCAGCAAGCCAACCTGGCCTGAAAAGAATAAAATAAATTATTGATCATTGTTAATTTTAATCGAATTTTTTTTCAAAAACGTTATTGTTAATCCTAATTGGGTTTGTTTGGGATATTCTATTTTTTTTTTACTTTTGTAATATGTGTTTTTTTTAATGTTGTACGCTGCCCTGAGTCCTTAGGAGAAGGGCGGCATATAAATCCAATAAACCAAACCAAACCAACCAATAAACCAAACCCCATGTGTCAGACCAGCAGGTGATTTATGACAATGTTGGAAGGTTTAGGGCAGGGGTGAAATGCTCTGAAGTCTGCTACTGGTTTGCCTTGCTACTGGTTTGCTTCACACGCGCAAGTGCGCTTTGCACTGCCGGGCAGTCTGAAAAATAAGGATTAAAAAGCCTTTTCTGAGCCTGCAAAGGTAAGTAGAACAGCAAGGTGGGGGGGACAGCTGTGCTGTGCGATTTGGATTCACTAGAAAGTAGGATTTCCTGCTTTCTAGCTAATATAAATCGCACAGCACAGCTGATTGTTGCACAGCTGATCTTCGGAACTACTGGTTTGCCCGAACCGGTAGCATTTTTTTTAACCACTGGTTTGGGTGAACCGGTAGCATTTTTTACTACTGGTTCAGATGAACCGGTCCAAACTGGTAGCATTTCACCCCTGGTTTAGGTGTCCATAGTGTTGCAACAGGGGGCAAATCAACTGTGGCGACCAGATAGGAGGGGCAATCTTTTAAAGAAGGGTGAAAGGAAGGATATACAAATTTAGAGCAATAGTGCCTATATAGGACAGCAGAGGAAGATAAATTGGGACAAAGTTGACCTAAAAACCCTGCTGTCTCATTGCAGATGAATTGAGTGGGAATTGTGGTTGCTCAGTAGTGAAGAAAAAGTACTTTGGAGATTCTCTTGGGTGATTCTGCTGAAAGATTAAAAAAAAAATCTCTGGTTATGGTCTGGCAAGACTTGCTGCCTAGGGTTGAAAGATCTCATGGGAAAACTTTAGCCTAAATTGCTGTTTTAATATGTGATAGCTTTTAATAGAGGCTTCAGGGATAGATCAGGTAATTTCAAATGCTATCATTTGATTTTAAATATTGGGATGTTCTGCTGAGATCTTCAGTTTCCTTTTAAGCCAGACATTTATCAAAAATGGAACTGCGATGATGCAGAAAAGCAGCTGCTTCATACTCATTCTCAAGATGGAATCTGTTATTCAATCTGAATGTTACTTCTTCTTTTTTTTTTGCACTTTGGTAAATGTACATTGTGACAAGCATACTTAAATAAATAATCTGGTCACCTCTGAAAATAAGATAAGATTGTTCTTCAATCAGTTGTATTAATCCAAACCCATACATATTTAATAAGGCCCTTGAACCTAAATATGTTGCCAAACTCTGCTATTGAGCTAATGTTGTCAGGATAGGGTACCAAATTTGGGGTTCTTTTATGTACTGTTATTATGGATAGGAAGAAGAAATTGAAGGAAGGTCTTTCCCAGTTTCGTTGGGACTTGAATGGGTGCACACCGTTTTTTACCATGCCTAAAATCTTGGGTTGCCCCCATCTGTTTCTAGACCAAGGGAACATTCTACATGCAGAGCTTCTAGAGAGAAAAAAATGAGGCTATTTCTTGATTGTCTTTACGATTGTCTAGACTCAGCATATCCAGAGCCTGGACATGGTGGGAATTGTAATTCAGAAGGTTCCACCACAAAACCGCGGATGACAAAATCGTGGTTGACGAAAGCGCGCATTTGACGTCATCACAGCGCGACGAAAACATCGCGCTGTGATCGAAAAATGTAAAAATAAAGCGAAAANTTTTTTAAAAAAATGTTATTGTCAATTCTAATTGGGTTTGTTTGGGATATTCTATTTAATTTTTTTAACTTTTTTATTATGTGTTTCTTTTAATGTTGTATGCCGCCCTGAGTCCTTCGGAGACGGGCGGCATATAAATCTAATAAACCAAACCAAACCAGGGAGGGAGAGAGAGAGAGAGAGAAAGAAAGAGAGAGAGACGGATATTAAAGTGGTATGGGCTATGTTAGAAGCACGTCTTCTCGAAGACGGTTGAGCTGTCTTCTCAAACCATTCTTTATTGTCTTCAAATGAAGTATCTGCCTTCATCTTCACAATGTTTTTAGGCAACTACAGCTGGGTGTACACTTGTCACCCTCATGATATCATGATCAGGGATGCGACTCATTCCAAAAGTGTGCCAAGTTCTTTTTTTTTTTCCTTACACCCTAAAGGTATGTTTACTCAATCATCACATCATCAGCTATCTAAGCTTTGTAGGAAACCCAGGATGAAATGCACTTGGATTAAGTTGGGGGTGTCTGTTCACATTGCTATTCTGACACTCAATATGTTACCATGGTGCATTCATTTAAGTCGGTGAGGCACAATGAGAGGTTTGCTGACCAAGCCAGCATCTAAGTGAGTTGGTTTATTTCTGCATTTCTGCGACTTGAGGAAGAAACAAACTGACAGTATACCAATGTCCTTAATATTTTTGGACAGATGGTCCTGGAGAGAGCTAGATTCTCTTTTGCGTGGCTCTTTCACCTGTTCCCTGCGTAAGAAACTGGAGAAGCCTCACATCACCTCAGTGTCACAAGATCAGGGTGAGAAGGCAATTTTGTTTTCTTCCCTAATTTGTTTTCTTCCAATTCATAAAAATAGCCCTATACAATTCTGCTGCCTTAGCTAGAATGGTGAACATTTCCATTATTACAGAGAAAAGAGGAAGTTGTATCCATACTGACTACTGTAAAGGAAGAGAAGATCCTGTAAGTCAGGGGTGTCAACCTGTGATCCATGGGGTGCTTAGATCTGGTCCGTGGGGCCAGCCTGGAAATAGAAAATGTTTGGCCCAAGATGCGTCTGCTAGTGAAAATGGGGTCGCGTGTGGGGCCCCCGTATCCCATTTTGACCAACATGTTTCAGGAGGCTGTCCAGGATTAAAACAGAGCACATGCACCCTGTTTTGGCTGGCAGAGTGCTCCCCCCCCCCCAGCCAGCCCGTGGAGGACAACTACAATGCTGATCCGCCCTCGAAGAAATCCAGTTTGACACCCCTACTATAGGTTGACACCTTATAAATCATAGTTGATGTAAAAAAAAGTCTTCTTCCAAGACACTAACAGATATATGTGATAAAACATGTGATTTTGCTATATAATTTTGAACATAGTGATGTGTTTCCAAATGTTACAGATTTAAGAAGAAATGAGGGTGAAACCTTTGAGTCAACGTCTCTTTCCTACATATTAAGTCTGGAGTGATTCACTTATTCATTATCCTCCCCAAGGTCCCTACTTCAGGAGAAAAAGGAGAAGAAAAATTGGCTCTCAATAGAAAGGGAGATTAGTAGTAGCCAGCAAGGCTAGAGTACTTTTCAGTCTTATGTGCTGTTTGAGATGGTTTTTTTAATAAGTAAGCACGATTTTGGACAAGGAACTACGGGTTGAGGAATCAAGAAATGGGTTTCATGATTTTCATCTCCCCCTCTCTCGCACACAGCCATACATGAAGAGAAATGCCAATTTCTATCAAACTGAAGAAGTGCTGCAATCATTTTAAGAATGTTGAAATCTATTCTTCTTAATACTGTCTTCCTACTAGTTCCAAAAGAATGCAAACATTCCAGCCACACTTCTTGAAAAGATACAGAGCACAAGTTATTCTTCCCACTCCCTGCCCATTCAAGCAAATGTATTGTAAAAAAAAAAAAAACACATTAAAAAAACAAGAAAGGCTGAAAAATTACTCACTTTACCATTACTGTACAATTATTTGTTTATGTACCACACTTTCCA